TAAATAAAATAATAAAAGAAGTGTTGTTTTTTCATTCTGTGGCTTCAGTAACCTTTATGATCTGTTAGCCTAATATTTCCATGTGAGAACATCCATGTAGCTTCAAAAGTAAAAATGATGTTTCTTTTGAGATGGAAAAGTATCTTGTGTTAATAAGATGTATTCTATAAAAGTAATGTAAAAAGCTTTGGGTTGTATTTACAGGCATACTAAATATGTCAAAGGAGGTTATGGCTCCTTTGTACAGATCTCTGGTTAGGCCTCATTTGGAGTATTGTGGACTCCTTATCTTAGGAAAGACATCAAATTATTGGAAAGGGTTCAGAGGAGGACTATTACAGTGATACCTGAGATGGCAAGGTTGTCGTATGAGGATAGGTTAAGATCTTTGAAACCGTTTTCTCTTGAGAAAAGAAGAGTTAGAGTGGATCTAACTGAGGTTTTTATAATTATTAAAGGTTTATGCAGAGTTGATGCATCATCTTTTTTATTACATAATGATGAGAAGACAGGACAAGTGGGCACAAGTACAAATGTTGGCATGATTGGAGACATCTTCAGCTAAGACAGTTTTACTTTTCTAACATGGTGGTTGGCGTTTGGAATGGGTGTCTTTAGTAAATTTAAGGGAAGGCTTATAAATATTCAAATAATAATGAGTGTTTAAATGTGTTTTTTTTTTAAAGCTTAGTTTAGTGGATGGGACAGCTAGATGGACCAATAGCTCCTTATGGTTCTCAAACAGACACAGAGCGGGATCCATACAGTAAAAAAAAAAAATTTTTTTGGACCATGCAGGTATGCATTCACGACATCTATTATGGTCATCCACAAACCTGGAGAAAAATCCCACTTGAGGGTAAGAAAAGACTCCATGGTATATTGAGGTAAAACCAAAAATTGATTGAGGCAGGACAAATCGATCACAGGCAGCAAATCCCCAGATTTCTTGGGTACCACAGACAGCCTGGAATAAATACCTGGAGAAGGTGAGTGACAGGTTCAATGGCATTCTGGGAGAGAAATTCTTGGACTGCCTCGGACAAACGTTGCCTGGCGATAAGGTCCTGATGGAAACGACACGGGTACTCAAGACAATGGAGGAGGGGAAAGGAATTAGATGACAAGTCCCTTTGATAATACCTGAATAACCCACATATCTGTGGCAAAAAGTTGATAAAGGAGAACAAAATCGGTCAAGCAAGCCCCCACTAGACCGGAACCCACCGGTACTGTTGGCAACAGTCCATCTACATCGAATAATATGATAAGAGGAGGAACCCCTGGAGGTAGGAACAGGTAAGAAGCAGAGGGGAAACAGTAATAGGGGCTTGTCAATGCTCTGAATGAGGTAAATGATCCACCAAAAAGAAAGGGTTGTATGTTGTCTTACCAATTCAACAGGGATTACAAAGTCGCAGAAATATTACCAAAAATATACCACTGTTGAAAAGGGGCCATACATAAGTACCGGAGATAAATTGTTGGTAAACAAACCTGGGACAAAACAGCATCCCTCTCCAGGAGATCCCAGAAAAACCATGTATATAAGGCTAGAGCTGAAGAAGACAAACACGTCAACGTGTAAGTAATCAGGGAGAGGCTATCCCTCCAAAAACCCTCAGGATCTTGGTGGATAGCCTCGGAAAGAAGGTGGATGGTAGACATGTACTGTATGAGAGTTGATAGGGTAAAACGAATGTGGGAAAAGTGGGTGTGGAATAAATGAACAGGTTGATCAGGGTCTGCTCCCCCATACAGGCAAAATCGTTTCCAACTGTTGAGAATCAAGAAATGGACATTCAGCCTTGTGGTAGACCAGAGCAAACTGATCTGAAGCCAAAGGAGGGCAAGGCATACTAGAGCCATCAACTATCTGAGAAACAAAATGCTCTGCATGAATTCCAAAATCCAGGGAAGGGGAGAAAACCAAATACCAAGAGGAGAGAGTATCATGTAAAAAGAAGGAAGGGGATCTTATGAAATCAGAGAACTGGATAAAAGAGAATATACCTGAGAAATCATGTCTAAAAAATCCTATTAGGCCCAGTTAATTCCGCAGTATGGGCATAAAAAGACACTGCAAAATCAGGTTGAGGAAAATGGCTGGCAAAATCCTTGTCGATCCAAAGAGGTTCGGCATGTCATGAGGAATAGGGGCAACATAAGGAGAAACAGGTTGACTCATATAAAGATCAATCTCATAGCAGTTGAGAGCTAGTAAGTCCATACACAAGTTACCCCCACCTGTAGCCTGTGTGTGCTAGTAGAAGGTATTACCTCTGAAGTGGTAACTTGTACTTCGGAATTCATTATGTAACAATGAACAATCAAACACAACCATTTGATGAAAAAATTGAAAACTGGAAAAAATAAATTATCAGAAAATTCATTAACTTTTTAAAGAAAAACAAATCCACCTTGGAATTAATATTAAAAAAAGCACTAAGTTGAAGAAAAAACACGATTGCAGAGCACAACAACAAAACATCTTGACACGAGTACAGCCAAACGATAAGTAATAGTTTGGTAGAATCAAAGAGCGAGAGAGTCACATGCATCAGGGGAGTGTGTCACACTCCTACTTGTGGAGGATTGTTGCATAATGATTTACATTCGAGAGACAGTTGAACCATTTGAGGGAAACACTAAATGAGAATAGCTATTTATGCGAGAGGAGGTAATGTACCATATCTGAAATAAAGTAGAAGAAATGCTCTTTTTAATTAAATATATTTGTTTTTGGATTAGTTGTTTAAAAACAATGAACAGACTTAAAAGTAAGCCTAACCATTATCTAACACTAAACTTCAAATAACCACTTAGCTTGTAAATAAGCCTAAATAGTTTCAAAAATGCAAACAGAAAGCTTTCATAAAGATAAAGCTTACTTATGAAGTAAAATAAAATAATTATAAATATTTATAAAAAAAACATCACGTATTGTGAAGGCAAAGAGGGGGCTATTTATTTGAAATTGCTCAAAATATCAGACTAAATAAGAAGCTGTTTTACATTTATATTGAGAAAATAAAAAATAAGTAAATTACAAGAATACTAGATTTATGTTAGATTCAAATAATCTACGTTGAAGA